GGTGCTCGTAACCGAAGCTGTCGGCTGTCAGTTGGTCGGATCGTCGATCGGAAAAGCAATCCCTCTCGTACACGCAGAGTGGTGTGTGCTCGCTCTGATACTCGATGGTAAGGATTATTCGTGGAGGTGGAAAGGCGATAGAGGGGACACGGTAAAGGCTCGCACGAGCATGCTTAGGCGGGATATACGTTATCTTACATGATCCATTAATTTGTTTCGCTCGTAGGACGGTTGATCGATTCGCAATGCGATACTCTGTACGATTACACGATACACTCCATGTACGATCGATCGCATACTCGTGTTGGTAGACCGACGCGCAGTATATGTACAGACGCGGAACGTGCAAGATCGGCTGTTGGCAGGGAACGACGGAAACGACGGGGACGATGTAAACGAGCAAAACGACGAAGACAACGAAGACGACGAAGACGACGAAGACGACGAGAACGACGAGAACGACGAGAACGACGAGAACGACGCGCGCGCGCGGTCCGAGGCTCGAGAACGAGAGCGCACCGAGCGAACGAACGAGCTGATTTTTCGGGACAAGTCGAATGGATCGTGTAATAGTGTAGTTGGGATCGTCCGCGAACACTGTGCCACAGTCAAACTACCGTCAATGTGTGTATATATGTATATATGTACATATATGTACGTACGCATACGGAGAGACAGAGAGAGACATATATATATATACACATATACAGAGACACACACATAGATATACGAATCATATTAAAAGTAAGAAATGATTCGAGAACGGAAACGACTTTAGAACGATTAAAAAAGGCGACCCACCGGTTGAGGCTGCCTGCCTCTCCCTCTGGCAGGTGGCGGAGGCGGCGCGTAATCGAAATAGTAATCCTCGTATCGATAATAGTCATCGTAATATGGATCACTGTAGCCACCTCGATAATCCCCATAACCGTAATAGTCGTAATCATAATCTATAAAAACACACATTACAAATAGACCCAAATTTAGCCACGATAATATGTATATCCAATCGACAACTTATTCAAAACTAATACTTGTGTTTCGTAGTAAGAAAAAGCATGCCGGGAAAAGATGGTTCTTAAACTCCAATAAGAGAAAAAAAAGAAAAGAAAAATTCGTACATCCGAACCGCGTTACGAACAGCGTTACGAACAGCGTTACGAACCCCGTTGCCAACCGCGTTACTGATGTGTATATCATAGATAAACTACGGAAACGATTCAACGAAATCATCGAATCATCCTGCAAAAAAAACATCTCTTTTCCTTTGCATCGCAACATTACAAAGAAAAAACTTCGCAACAATTACCCTACCACCATCACGTATCCTGACAAATTCCACGCTTTCCACGGATCATAGAAAGTCTTTATGCGGATACTTCTCTGTGCATGTACGCGCGCTGCTTTCTTTCTTTTTCTTTCGAATCCCTTCATTTATACGCTATTCTATCGTATGTATATATCAATTGTGTGTGCGTGTACTGTGTGCGCGCGCGTGTGTTCGTGTACGTGTCTGATACGATACGATACGATACGATACGATACGATACGATACGATACGATACGATACGATACGATACGATACGATACGGTACGGTACGGTACACGATGCGCCAGGATACGATATGTGATGTGATGTGATGTGATGTGATGTGGTGTGAGATAATGTGATATGACGTGGTACGATACGATATGAAATGTCTTGCTATGCTATGCTATGCTATGCTATACTACACTAAACTTTACTATCATGTTTATACCTTCTATGCGATCAGGTACGCGCAACGATTTTCGATGATCCGAGAGCGCAAGATGCTTTCACACGTTGAGCAGAATTAAAAAAGGGGGGAAAATACACAAGTCTACGGATAATACTCTACCACGTTCCATTCATCGTCGCGATATCGCGCTATCGCGATATCGCGATATCTCTTACCTATTTCCACGAGAGCTGTAAACAAATTTTTGAATTTGTGATGCATACAAAACCAAAGAAATGCACACGCTTACTTAAAACTTAATGAAACCAACAACATAAACAGAATAACAAAACAAAAAAAACCGGAAAATAGAAAAATGTAGGATTCGAATAAAATCGGCAATGCGAGATTAATCGTTGCACACTGCCACAAAAAAAGGAAAGTACGTCTCGCTTCGATGCCATAATACGGAAACACGGAAATAGGGAAATAGGGAAATGGGGAAATGGGGAAATGGGGAAATGGGGAAATGGGGAAATGGGGAAATACGAAAATACAAAAATACAAAAATACGAAAATACGAAAATACGAAATTACGAAATTACGAAATTACGAAATTACGAAATTACGAAAATACGAAAATACAAAACAAACGATACGCATGCAATGATTGTTCGTTAATGATAATGGTAATAATAACACATAACGATTCATATGTATAATTGTATACGTGCGTACACGCAATGCACTCGCTCGACTCGTGATATTCTGAACGCGTGAAACGCGTGGAACACGGGCAATTCAGTTTTCGCTTGGAACGTTGCTTCGATTCCCTATTATCCTCCGATTAGAAATAGAAATATCGATGAGTCGAGCGAGGACCGTTTGTAGGCATATACACTCACGTATACACATACATACTGTTAGGAGATCACTCGATTGCTAGGCGGAGGAATGCGGGTCTAAATTGGTCAGTTTTCATCTTGTTTACGATGGAAATTTGCTATTCGTTGATACGATTGCGCGTAACCAATGAAAAGTATAAGCACAACACAGCGAGAGACTCCTGTTGCCCCTGTGCCGTCCCGCTTGCTAGTATCGAGTCATCGCCCAATCACGTGCGTGCGCGCGCGCGCGCGCCACTGTGTGTATGTGCGGGGTGAATACATGCGCTGATGGAGAGTTAGCAACCGAGACACCACACGTTAAACAAGGTTCTTTCGCTGTGCGTTTTCTTTCTGGTATTCAACGATTATCGTCTAACCGTTTTTTACGAGCAACACATTAATGCCGATAATGCGTGTCAGAAGAGAGAGTACTACCACCTTCTTTCCTTCCGTTCTGACTCTATAGACTTGCATTTCGTTCAGGTGCCTTCTTTCTATCAACGCAGTAACGCGCGCCCGCGCCTGTGTACGCGCCTGTGTATGCGCCTGTGTACGCGCCTGTGTACGCGCCTGTGTACGCGCCTGTGTACGCGCGTGGAGACCGGGATGGCGGGCGGGCGGGTGGTATCGCGCACGCGCGCGCGCGCGCGTGACTGTGTGCTATGTATATACAATATATACGTATACACAAAAAAGAAAAAAACAAGTGTGACAGGAAGTGGTAGTGGTAAGGCAACAAGATGCTTTGATTACATCGTTAAGCCACACTCGGTGTACATATGCAGAAACGCACATATGTGTCGGAGAACATATGGAACGTGTGAAAATTATTTCAATTCGTAATTAACACATATCGAAATTGTTAGGCGGAATAAATCAAACTAATTCGGAGAATTGATATGTACGTGAAATTTGTTAAACAACGAAACAAAATCAATGGAAGAGTGACGCGCGGCAATTGAAGGTCGAATAACCGAAAAAATGTAGAAAACGTAAATACAATAACGCCGGGCTTGGGCCAAAATCAATGTTTTATTTCATTCGCGGCAAACTCTATTCGCGCGATCTCTCGCGAAGCGCATCCCTTTATCTCAACGCGAGGGAAATCGATCCAGATCGCGGGGCCTGGTTGCTCCAGCGCGTTTCGCTATCAGGGAGCGATTCGGATATTCTCGCGCGCACACTGTTGTCGCAGATTCACCGACGCGCAGTTGGCAACTCCAACTCGGATGGTAACTCCAACAGGTTCATGGACACTCGATTTCGTGATTGAAAAGACGACTTTGTATAACAGAGAAATTGTAGAAAATCTTCATTCTCGAAATAAAGCTAGCGGTTAACCTAACAAGAATTCATGGACATGGCTCGAGAAAACGAGTTAGTCGGCGGAACAGAGCCGAAAAGTAAAGTGTCTCTATGGGGTGAGTTTGTTTCGATTGGCGGCTTCGGAATCTACCGAGAACGCAATGGTCCAAGCCCGCGATAATTGTGCGAGGAAATGAACGCGAGCGAAAGTAGAATATATCAATTAGATGGAGAATTCGTTTGACGAAAAGAACACGCGCGTATACAGGTTGCACTTGTATACGAAAATGCTTGTTAAAACGAGACGACCAAGTGCGAAAACAAAATGCATTTGTGTCTGCAGTCATGATAGAACGATATAGGATGGAATCGCGAGGAACGAGAAACTTAACCGGTAGTACTTACCATAATCGCCTCGTCCCATTTGTCCTCGCATACCTGCACCGGTGCCGCGAGGACCTTGGCCGGGTCCACGTACCTGCATCGGTCCTCCCATCATACTCGGATGCGACGGAGAACCTCTAGACAAAACAATTCCAACAATGGTACAACCGAATCGATCGCATAAAACGTTCTCGCGAGATGGCGAGCGGGACAAGAGAGCTCAGGCGCGGAGATAACAGATAGAGCTCCGTCGCCCCGAGTCTTTTGTTCGGAACGTTCATTCGCCCCGGGCGTAATCGCATCGACGAATAGGAAATTAACATTGAACATCATTCCGCTCGCCAACTCCTGATCGATGGATATCAGAGCCAGTTTAGATTTTCGATTTCCAATGCAAAATCCCACTCACCCGCTCCGGACTTGCAACATTTGGTACATTCTTCGTTCCCTAGCGCGCAACATCTCCTCTTTCTTCTTTTTATCGGACGGTGGCTTTGCGAGAGACACCTCTATGTGGGAGCCACCAATCTCCTTCCCGTTTAACTCGTTCATCGCCTAAAATGGTAACGAGTGTACAATGGAAGGACGATTCGCGTCTAGCCTAGATCCACGAGACACGGTCGTTTCTTACTTTGATCGCATTCTCCCGTTCCTCGAAATGTACAAAAGCGTAGTCCTTGATCTTTTTCACTCTTTCGATGTTACCGTACTGCTCGAAACACTCTTTCAGTTTCTCCTCGGAACAATCTTGCGTCAAGTTTTTCACATAAAGTACGCGCACCTGGAGAATCGATAAAACGGACGTTAAAGAAATAAGAATCGAATCGCGGCCTGGATAAGCGCGAGGCGCTACGTCTCGGTCCACTTACTTTCGACATCGTTTGCTCGTCGGGTTCTTCCTGAGGGTCTGCCCAATCGACTATTATGTCACAGCCCCAGACCTTGATGCGACCCGTGCTCAATCTTCGTTTCGCTAAGGATGCTGCTTTGTGAGATTCGTATTCTAAGAAGCAAAAACCCCTATTTTTCTTCTTATCGTCCGGCGAGCTGTAGATAATCACCTCCATCAGGCCAGCTGTACGATGGAAAAATTATACAAAATGGATCAATCGATTTCATCGAAACATGGTCCGCGTTACGAGTATGTATGTATCTACGGTTAAAGGAACAAAATAAATAAAATAAATAAAATAAAATAAAATAAAATAAAATAAAATAAAATAAAATAAAATGAAATAAAATAAAATGAGATAAAATAAAATGAAATAAAAAAAACAAAAAAAAATCAAAATATAGAGAAAAAAACCAAAAAAGAAAAAAAGAAAGGAAAAACAAACATTGCCGAAA